GGGGTAGAATGAAAGAGGAAGCATGGAAGGCAAAACCAAAGAATCTTGATGAACTCTGGGAGGCATGTAAGACGCTTTCTTTGCTATTCCTGATGACTTCATCAACAAATTGTATGAATCATTGTCGAACCGCATGGATGCGTCCTTCAAGCTCATGGAGTCATACAAGATATTAAATATGGATCTCACAGCACCACTACTTCATTCAATGAAGTCATGCAACATATTTTTGTATTTGAAGTAAATTATTTGTTCAATTTTCTGTAGGCGACAAAACTTTTGTCTTGCCAAAATCTGACCTTTCTGTGTTCATTAAATGATCAATCTTTCTTCAGTGAAGCAAATTTATTTTAGAATATTGAGCATAATTTGGGAGGGTTTTAGCTTCATATGAGACATTTCTAAAACCAATCGATTAATTTAAAGTCAGGTTATAAGCTTTTGTTTCTACAAAATGGATAAGCCACAAGACTTTTGTCAGGGACTGTAGAGCTGTGGGAATATAGAGCTGTAAGAACATAGAGCTGTGAGAATATAGAGCTGAGGGAACATAGGGCCTAATTTTCAACATTTTCAATGAAAAAAAATTCGTAGAAATGAGGGAACATAGGGCTGACCCCGTAGCAGTAGTAGCAGTAATAGTAGTAGATGTATTTGCAGTATTTGTAGTAGCACTGACCCCATCCATGCCAAAGGTGTAGTAGTAGTAATAGTAGTAACAGCAGTAACAGTATTTGTAGTATTTGTAGTAGTACTGACCCCGCCCATGTCGAAGGTGTAGTAGTAGCAGTAGTAGTAGCAGTAACAGCAGTAGAAGTAGTATTTGTAGTATTTGTAGTATTTATAGTAGTACCTGTCTATGTCGAAGGTGTAGTAGTAGCAGTAGTCACAGTAGTAGCAGATTATAATAGCAGTAGTAGTATTTGTAGTATTTGTAGCAGTACTGACCCTGTCCATGTCGAAGGTGTATTAGCAGTAATAGCAGTAGTATTTATAGTAGTATTTGTAGTATTTGTGTAGTAGTACTGACCCCGTTCATGTTGAAGGTGTAGTAGTATTTGTAGTATTTGTGTCGTAGTACTGACCCCGTCCATGTCGAAGGTGTAGTAGCAGTAATAGTAGTAGTATTTGTAGTATTTGTGTAGTAGTACTGACCCTGTCCATGTCGAAGGTGTAGAGGCAGTAATAGCAGTAGTATTTGTAGTAGTATTTGTAGTATTTGTAGCAGTACTGACCCCATCCATGTCGAAGGTGTAGTAATATTTGTAGTATTTGTGTCGTAGTACTGACCCCGTCCATGTCGAAGGTGTAGTAGCAGTAATAGCAGTAGTATTTGTAGTATTTGTGTAGTAGTTCTGACCCCGTCCATGTCGAAGGTGTAGTAGCAGTAATAGTAGTAGTATTTGTAGTATTTGTGTAGTAGTACTGACCCCGTCCATGTCGAAGGTGTAGAAGCAGTAATAGCAGTAGTATTTGTAGTAGTATTTGTAGTATTCGTGTATTAGTACTGACCCCGTCCATGTCGAAGGTGTAGTAGCAGTAATAGCAGTAGTATTTGTAGTAGTATTCGTGCATTAGTACTGACCCAGTCCATGTCGAAGGTGTAGAAGCAGTAATAGCAGTAGTATTTGTAGTAGTATTTGTAGTATTCGTGTAGCAGTACTGACCCCGTCCATGTCGAAGGTGTTGAAGCAGTAATAGCAGTAGTATTTGTAGTATTCGTGTAGTAGTACTGACCCCGTCCATGTCGAAGGTGTTGAAGCAGTAATAGCAGTAGTATTTGTAGTAGTATTTGTAGTATTCGTGTAGCAGTACTGACCCCGTCCATGTCGAAGGTGTAGAAGACCTGGTCGACGTAGCTGGAGGCGTGGGGGGTCATGCCCTGCAGACCCAGGATGGCCTTGAGCTCGAACAGCGTGATCAGACCCGACGGACTCTCCCTCATGAACTTGTTGTACCAGTGGTGCATGTCCTCCGACAGGATCTCGTCCAGGTTAGAGCCGTGGTTCCCCATCGCGACGCCCACACGGACCCGGGTACTCTGCTCCACCCACGTACTACGCTAAGCAGTACTAGCAGTATCAGTAGTAGACTTATAGGAGTAGTGTCGGTTTTAGTCAAAGTAATGGTAGTAGTAGCCTGACAGTTATAGTAGCAGTACTAGTAGTAGACTTATAGAAGCAGTAGCAGTAGTGGTTGCAGTAGTATCAGTAGTAGTAGCAGTAGTAGCTGTAGTAGCAGCAGTAGAAAGCAGTAGTAGTAGAAGTAATCTTATAGTAGTAGTATCAGTAGTATCAGTAGTATCAGTAGTAGTAACTGTAGTAGTAGCAGTAGGAGTAGCAGTAGTAGCTGTAGTAGTAGCAGTAGAAGCAGTAGTAGTAGTAGCAGTAGCAGACTTATAGTAGTAGTATCCGTAGTGGTTGCAGTGGTATCAGTAGTAGGAGCAGTAGGAGCTTTAGTAGTTAGCAGTAGTAGCAGTAGTAGTAGCTGTAGTAGTAGCAGTAGTAGCTGTACTAGTAGCAGTAGTAGTAGCAGTATCAGTAGTAGACTTATAGTAGTAGTATTAGCAATAGTGGTTGCAGTAGTATCAGTAGTAGTAGCTGTAGTAGTAGCAGTAGGAGTAGCAGTAGTAGCTGCAGTAGTAGCAGTAGAAGCAGTAATAGTAGTAGCAGTAGCAGTAGTAGACTTATAGTAGTAGTGGCAATAGTGGTTGCAGTAGTATCAGTAGTAGCAGTAACAGTAGTAGCTGTAGTAGTAGCAGTAATGGTAGTAGATTTGTAGTAGTAGTATCAGTTTTAGTTGAAGTAATGGTAGCCTGACAGTTATAGTAGTAGTAGTAGCAGTAATAGTAGTAGTAGGCCAAAGTAGAGTTTCTACAGTAAGAATTTTAGTAGTTAGTTAGTACTTATTATTAGTTCAAATTAAAATTGCAGTAGTAGTTGTAGTAGTAGCTCAGAGCTAACTACTAGAAGTTGCTAACAGTTACTACAGTAGCAGTAGTAATATTTATATATTTTTTTCTGTCATTATTAATTAAAAAAACATAAAGTAATACTACATTTAAATAAAATAGATTCTCAAAAGGTGGATGATTTGTTTAGAAATAAAAATATATATATATAAAAAAAAAAAAAAATCAAATGCTCCTCCAGTTTAGCTTTGGTTCAGCTAGCTCCTGTTAGCCTAGCCACTGAAAGTCCATTCTTCTTTATTAGCACTTAGCACTTTAACCGTTAGCAGGTTAGGTTAAAAATATATTTATTTTTGCAGATTTGTTCTTTTTTTCTGGGATTATCCAATATTTTGAGGTCTTTTTTTGCGTGGAGCTCCTCTTACGCCAGAATAATTCATCTTTTTAGCTCAAGTTTAAGTCGAATTTTGATCATTTTTGCTTCACTTTATGCTGCTGTAAATATGCTCGGTTTTAGCCGTGGTCTGATCCAGTTTCTTTTGCGTTTTTAAGTCCGTTTTGTGTGTTTGCCGTCGGCGTGTGGAGACTTGGCACCTCCCGGTCTCCTGAGTTCAGTTTTAAAAGGATTCCACGGCTTTGCTCTGTGATCCTACTTCTGTCCCCTCTGCAGATTTTAATTTTAGTAAAAGTTTTCCTCAATGTTGCACAAATCCCTCTATGTTCTCTCCACAATGTTTCTTCAAATTATTCAAAAAAGAAAAAAAAATATTGCCTTGATTAAAAAAAAAAATTCGTAGTCCTTTGTGATTTCAGAGTTTGCAAAATATAAAAATTACAGGTAGGTTTTTCATTTTAATTTACAAAATGGCGTCCAATTTCCTCAAAAAATCTTGGTGGTTTTTCTCAATATTTTCCAGTTTTCCAGTTCAGCTCCTCCGCCGTTCACAAGTCTCCATGATCCAACAAGTTTCTGCAAAGTTCTGAGTCAGATTTCAGAAGTTTGAGCAGTCCATCGTTGTTCCTGGAAATATTTGTGATTTGAAGGTTGAGTTTTTCCTGAATTTGAAGCAGATTTTTATTTTTTCTCCCCTGATTTTTCTGCGGTGAAGCGGTGAAGAGGTGCAAGCGACTGCAGGACCAAAGCCGGGCGATGCCGCTGCAGAGTAAACCCTCTTAGGCTCAAAAGTCAAACCAAAATAAACCGGTGTTAATGAGATCAGCTTAACCCAGAACACTCCACTGCAGCGTTATATAAGAGAACTAAACCAGGGACTGAACCGAGGCTAAACCAGATCTGAACCTTTGTCTGTGCAGGTACGGGCCAGTTTTAACCTGAAACAAGCAAAACAGACCAAATCTGGCATCATCAAACCAGAAAGTTATGATGATTACTTATGTTTAGATTTGTTTGTATTGTGATTTTAATGTATTTCTAATTCTGTAAAGCACTTTGAATTCATTTGTGTACAAATTGTGCTTTACAAATAAACTTGCCTTGCCTTGCCTTGACAAAAAATAAAAATAAATAAAAAAAATAACTAACTAAACTTACCGAACTAAAGCAGGTCTAAACTGTTTGGGTTGGTATTTTCAAAGAGTCTGTCTTTTTTGCTGGATTTGTACAGATTTTGCTGCAGGGACACCAAAGATCTGCCCCTTATTCTATGTGGATTTTTAAAGATGGTTTGGTCCTGTTTTAATCCTGGTTTAGGCCTGGTCCTAGTCCTGGTTTAGATCTGGTTTAGTCCTGATTTAGTCCTGGTTTAGACGTGGTTTTGTGCTGGTTTAGTCCAGTTGTAGACCTGGTTTAGTTCTGGTTTCTGTCTCTCAGGTTTAATTCTGGTTTAGTTTTGGTTTAGTCCAGGTTTAGACCTGGTTTAATCCTGGTTTAGACCTGATCTAGACCTGGTTTAGTTCTGGTCTCTGTCTCTCAAATTTAATCTGGGTTTAGTCCTGGTTTAGACCTGGTTTAATCCCGGTTTAGACCTGGGTTAGTCCTGGTTTAGTCCTGGTTTAGTCCTGTTGTTCATCGCTGCAGTTCTCCGCCTCGTCGCTGGGGGCGCTGTTCTGAAGTTCCATTCCCCTCAAACACGTGGGACTTCCTCCTTCAGCAAAGCGTGCGCGGATCTCCCGAAACCCGGTCCGCATTTTAAAGATCCAAGAACTTTAATTCCGCACAAACAAAATAATCTGAGAATGACGAAGGTGAAGAAGGAGAAAAGTGCGGAGAGAGCGGCGGAGGCGGAGGAGGAGGCGGCGCCGCAGGAGAGGAGCTACCACGAGCTGATCGCAAACGTGAACCCGATCGCCCAACCGCTGGCGTCCAAGAAACTGAGCAAGAAACTCTACAAATGTGTCAAGAAGGGTGAGAAACACTATAGACTAAACCAGGACTGAACCAGGACTAAACCAGGACTAAACCAGGTCTAGACCAAGATTAAACCAGGACTAAACCAAGTCTAGACTAGGATTAAACCAGGACTGAATCAAGATTAAACCAGGACTAAACCAGGACTAAACCAGGTCTAAACCAGGTCTAAACCAGGTCTAAACCAGGACTAAACCAGGACCAGGACTACACCAGGACTACACCAATCAGGTCTAAACCGGGTCTAAAACAGGTCTAGTCCAGGACTAGACCAGGTCTAAAAGAGGACTAAACCGGATCTCAACCAGGTCTAAACCAGGTCTAAACCACTTCTAAACTGGGTCTAAACCAGGTCTAAGACAGGTCTAAGCCAGGACTAGACCAGGTCTTAATTAGCTCTAAACTAGGTCTTAATTAGGACTAAATCAGGTCTAAACCAGCTCTAAAATAAATAGTTACGTCTGGTCTCCCTAATCTAGAATAAAATACCAAATGTACGCTTTTGTGAACGGGGCTCTGGATTTGATCACTGAACACCCTCCAGAACCTTTAGTCCGTCCATCAGCAAAATCTGAAAACTCCTCCAGAGTGGGCAATGCTCAGCGGGTTTTTGGGCGGGCTCTGGAGCGATGATTGACAGCTGACCTACAGCCACAACAATCGAAAGACACGGCGGGACATCTTACTCACTGGTGGCCATTAGTCCAACCCGGAGATTTGACCCAAAAGTTAGATTTTTAACAAATAAGCACTAAAATGACAAAAATAAGACCAGGGATAGGTACACACTTCTATTTTAGACCCATTTAAACAGATAATCAGAAGGAAAAAGTGATTTGGGTGTTTAGTGGAACTTATACTAAATTGTATAAGATTTACATTTACAAATCTATAAGCCCATGTTTGGTGCTCGTTGAGTCCATAAATTGTACAGTTCTGGTCCTGTCTTGGTTTATTTTGTGACTTTGCCCGTTTCTGTTGCAGCGTCTAAAGTGAAACAGATTCGTCGAGGAGTCAAAGAAGTTCAGAAGTTCATCAACAAAGGAGAAAAAGGGTAAGACCTGGTTTAGACCTGGTTTAGATCTGGTTTAGTCCTGGTTTAGATCTGCTTTAGTCCTGCTTTAGTCAATTTTTAGTCCTGGTTTAGTCCCTGTTTCAATCTGGTTCAGAGTTTTTTTTGTTTTTTTTTCCTCCAGGATTGTGGTTTTGGCTGGAGACACTCTGCCCATCGACGTCTACTGCCACCTCCCTGTGATGTGTGAGGACCGCAGCCTGCCCTACGCCTACATCCCCTCCAAACTGGTGAGGAGACGGGGAGGGCATCTGACTCATATGACTGTTTGATTATCGAAAAAATCATTATCACGATTATTTTGGTCAATATTGAAATCACGATTATTCAAACGAAACGGGAATCGTTGCACAGAATGTTTGTCACTTCACTGATCGGCTGGTGCCCGAACTCACACTTGGGGGGTTCTTGCGTTTGTCTAGTGTTTTCTGATTCCTGACCTGACCTGGCTACATTTATTCAGTATTTCTCTGAAAAAAAAACAACAAAAAAACATACAAGTATCTAAAATAAACTATATATCCAGCTGTTCTACAATCTAATATTCCAAAATAAACTTTGAACTCGATTATGTGACATTGAAGATCGTTTATGCAATTAATCGAATTGTCATCACAATTTTGATTTGTGTGTCAGCCTTCACTTAGACGTGTTTGCAGATGCCTGATGGGATATTTTGTTCTGTGCAGAGGAGTTTATTTTATCAAGAGACTTACAGACTTAATGAAGTGATAATGAAATGCTCCAGTTCAAATTGTGATTTTGTGGTGAGTTTTGGTGCAGCCCTCAGTGAAAATACATCATAAAACAAATGAGGAGTGGCAATATGTGTGTTTCAGAATCGGTATCGGCCGATATTGCTGTTCATGCCAGTAGAAGAGCTTTAGATGTTTGTGTAACATTTGAGACATTTACATGAGAGCTTTAATTCCAAATAAAAATCATGTAATTATGAATAAAAATGTATTCTGCTTTAAAAAGACCACGTAAACACTTAATTCCTAATGAAAATGATTATTCAGTATTAAACTTAATTCCTAAAGTAAGTGGGTGGTTTATTCTGATTTTAAAGCCAAATTGATTTAGACAAGGCAAGTTTATTTGTATAGCACAATTCGTACACAAAGTAATTGAAAGTGCATTAAAATCACAATACAAACAAATTAAAACACAAATAATCATAAAATTTAAAAGAGAGCGAGACATTAAATTAGAGAGAATTTATTCCTGGATCATGTAAACGTTTATTCTTCGTAAAAATAATCCTGGTTGTTCAGTTCATGCTCGTTGTGTCGTCCTTCGATCCGGCTCCACCAGTCGTGGCTTCGGACTTTCCTCCACGTCTCTTTGGATTTGTGAGCGGGATGTGGGAGTGGGCTGAGGTAGAGCAGCCTCACACTCAGTTCTCCGACACTTTTCTATCATCTTGCTTTACGTCTGTCAGCTGAGGAGGAAAAGGGAATTCTCGAGCCGATGCTTCATTATCATCGGAACCACTGCGGGAAAAGTTTGGATCGTGTTTGTGTCCGTGGCGTAACGACAACGTGTTTTCTTCCGGTCGATGTAAATCCGTTTGTGCCTCTGTCCAATCAGAACCTTCCCCACCCCCAGACGCTGAGCGGAATTAAATAAAGACGATTCAACGAGTTTTCCATGTAAACCTCAATTCAGAATTATTATTTCTATGTAAACTCGAAGGAGGATATTTTAATTCCGAACAATTTAATTCAAAATATTTAATTCGGTATTAAAAAAACATCATGTAAACGTGGCCATGGAGTCAAATAACAAATTATTTTGTATCTCAGATAAATACATTATGTTGTTTTACTAAAGTGAAATTTGTGATCTTTAACTTCAGATAAATTAGTGAGCCTTGCTGTGGATTTTAAAAGCAAAATATTGTGGATCAGTGTCGAGTCAAATGATCCGTACTGGCCCGTTCCAGATCACAGATGGAGAGTTCAGACTCCTGATCCACGTTCATCACGTCTCTGTCCCTCAGGATCTTTTTGTTTTTTCAAACTTGAGCTTTGACGCTGTTCTGTTTTTGTCCAGGATTTGGGATCTTCGGCGGGATCGAAGCGTCCGACCTGTGTGATCCTGATCAAACCTCACGAGGATTATCAGGAGCAGTACGACGAGGTCCTGGAGGAGGTGTCAGCCCTGCCCAAGCCCCTGTGACCAACGACTTGACCAACGACTTGACCAGGACTTGACCAGGACTTGACCAGGTCCAAACTTGATTCTTATAAATGTATATTTTGCTGTAGTTTATTTGTTTTAATGTGTTTTTCTTTTGACCAATGAGCTTTGAGTTTTTATTAAAAAGAAACAAATATTACTGTAACATGTTTTTGTAAATAAATATAACCGTGAAAAACATTTGAGTTAATTATTATTACTTGACTTTTCTCAACCAGAAGTGAAGTGAGTTGGGACCAGGAGCTTGTATAAATACAGTATTTTACAAAGGAGCTCAACAAATTTCACATTCTTTTTTTCCTTTCTGGACTTTCTGGAGGAAATAAAACAAAAAACATTAATATTAAAATCTTGAAAGCTCAGGGCTGATCAGCTTTTGTGGTGACTGATAAGCCCAAGACCTGTAATTTATTCAAACTCTTTCTGAAACATTATAAATCGCAGAGTTATTAAAACTTTTGCAGAATATATTAATTGGCACGGAGCTCATTTTCTTTCTCAACACCTTTGAACTCTTTTAATATTTTTTTTTCCAAGTTTACCGATACGTCGACATCACGCCTGGTGTGCCTGTGTGTTTGTGAAAGAATGTTTGGGAGTTGCCATGGTAACACAATGCCATAAGGGAGGCAGGATCGTTAAGAACCTAGTGCACAGATGCAGAGGTGAATATAAAGTACAGTTTTATTTTGATTAAATGAAACAGGAGGACAGGATGTTTAAACGAGTCGAGTATTTTCTACTTTTGTAAAACAAATGTTGGTAACATTTTATAATTACACCTTATTTAGCCTTAATAAAGCATGAACAAAGACTTAATGAGTCACACTTAGTAACTACTTAATTACTACCTGAATTAGCACTTAACTTGCACTTTAATTCACCTGTTCTGTAAATAGTTACTCATAAGTATTTCTTACTTAATTACTCATGAACTAACCATTGTGTGTGCATTTGTAAATGTATATTTAAGTACAAATTTGAGCATTTATTAATGATTATTAAGCCATGAGAGAATGATTTACTAATAATGAATTATTGTTTCTCTGGAATTTGACCAAACTTAACAAATGCTTAATAAAACATAATTAATCTTCACTTTAGAAAAGCTCTCAGAAAGACTTAACGAACAGATAACAGCCGCCTGAATGATCATTGCATTGCATTATTAGTAAATCATTCTCTCATAGTTTACTAATCATTAATAAATGCTCAAATGTGAACTTAAATATGCATTTGTAAACATGCAAATGGTTAGTTCATGAGTAATTAAGAAGTATTGAGTTACTACAGCACAGGCGAATTAAGTGCAAATTAAGTGCTAATTCATGTAGTAATTAAGTAGTTACTAAGCGTGAATCATTATTAACTAAGTCTTTGCTCATGCTTTATTAAGGCTAAATAAGGTGTAGTTATTATAAACTGTTACCCAAATATTACATCAAAACTGGAAAAACATTTGTCAGTCACATCAGGAACAGTCTCACTCAGGGTCCATCACCTGCTCATCACCATGGAGATGTTACTGCTTTGTCTGCGATGTTCCACAGTGTGTCTCATCTCCATGGAGACAAGCAGGCGACGCCATCAGGCCAAGTTACAGGTCAAATCTGTGGAGAGGAGAGCCCGCTTACGGTTAGAACATATAAATGTAATACAAGCAACTGAATAAAAAGCAAGGTGGATATTGTGGAACATTGCAGGGAAAGTAATGACACAACCTCCATTAGAAATGTTACACAGTGCAACTTTTAAAGTCTGACAAATGCAGGACAATGGAGCTACAATTAGCTTTTTTTCACCAGTAGATGGCAGATGTGAAACCCGCCCCCCCTTCCCCTCATCACAGAACTATTATAAAATCTGAAGCTGAACCCAAGATGCGTCGTGTTGTTTTCAGTGGTCTGTGCTCATGGGCCCAAAAATAATTTTCTCTTCCTCAGTTCGGGCGAGCTCCTCCCACCCGTGTGACGACTGTAACATGCACGGCGTGGAGCGTTTGGACCAATCAGAGTGAGAGCTGCTAGAGTGGCGAGGCTCAGTCTGACAAAGATCACTTTAGATGCTTTAAGAATTTAAATAATTTAAAAAAGTTTATGTTGTGAAAATAGAAAAGAATCCTACAAAATCTGACTTTTGTGAAAGTTGTCCATGCCCTGTCAGAACATGGGCAGTTTGAATTTCCAAAATGCATTGCGCTCTGTGGGAGAATTCGTTCTGGGCCCAAAATCCTGGAGCTGCAGTACTTAGAGCGGCCACTAGTCTGTCTGGAGCTGCGACTGAGGGGGAGGGGCTCATCCAGGTTTTATTACAAATGCATGCCAAGCCATGGGGCCTAAACATGTCCACCTGTTAAGTCACTGGGCCGAGCTCAGTGGAGCATGTCTCCAGGTTAGTTTGACCCGGCGAGGTACTTCCTTTGGCTGATTGAGCATGTGCAGTAACGCTCTTTTCTCCCAAGAGCACATGAACATACAAGAGTGCACGCACGGAGCACGGGCTTGTGTATCACATGATCACTTTGACCAATCAGAGTGAGATGAGCTAGAGTGGAGAGTAGGGATGGGCATGATTAATCGATAACTGATCATTAAGAATTTAATCGATTATGTTAATTTTAATCGACAAACCGAATGTAGGTTGCTGTGTGTATCGTGACCAAACAGGTGTGTACATGTGTCTCTGCATCAGAAGGAGCGAGACACAAACAGTGGGTCAGTCTGTAACGAACCAAAGCACAAATGTGTGTTTAACGATGATTTGTACAAGAAATTCCACACTTTCCGTTGCGTTCGGGACAAGTGTGAGTCCATGTGCACAGTGTACAAAGCAGCACATATGTTTCTGTGTCCAGTGGGAAAAAGTTTTACCAACAGAAAACAAAAAAGTTTTACCAGGTGAGAGTCGCTCAATGTGGATGACGAGGCCCCGCCCCCTCCCCCCGTACGCTGTCCTGGTTTTGACAAACGGAAATCTGGTCACACTGACCTGTATTCACCTGAGTCATGTCTTTTAATCAACAGAAATTGAACCGCATCAGTGACACAAGAGCTGTTTTTTAAAATCTTCGCTTAGTTTATGCAAATTAGCGATGTGGTTTTAAGTTTTGTTTCTGTGAGATTTGAACAAAACTGAATTAAACACATTATAATGTCAAACTGGCTGATGTGGCTCTAGAGTTGTTACAGTTTATATGTCGTAAAGTTGAATTTATTTATGCAGATTAGTGCAGATAGTAATAATAATGATGATCATTTTAATATAAAAACGTTAATGATTAATCGATAATCGATCGTTAATTCTTCCGACGATCGATTAAGAAAATTTCATCAAATGCCCGTCCCTAGTGGAGAGACAACCATTTTAAAGAGTTTTTTTAAGACAACTGAAGGATTTTGAGCTGAGTTTGATCTAAAAACAGGTAAAAATTGCCCCAAAATCCGACATTTTTGAAAGCTGTAGTTCTCTGTTTGTCGAACACGAGCAGTTTGGGATTACATTACGCTCCGTAAGAAAAATTCTCTCTCGGCCCAGGGGATTTTTTCTGCTTTAGAACCAGTGAGTGTCAGTACGTCAACTGGAGGCAGCTACAAGCAACACCTCCAGTTATTTTATCAGATCCGTGCCCCTCACCTGGGCTGTCTGGTCTTCTTCTGTCAGGCCTAAGCTGGTGCACTGTCAAACAGAAGTAATGAGAGCGCCTCTAGTGGTGAAGTGTGAATACAACTGGGGCTGGTCTATTTACCGACGGCAGCTTTAAGCAAACAAAAGCAGGACTAAGACTACGTTCAGACTGCAGGGCTTAACGCTCAATTCCGATTTTTTTGTGAAATCCGATGTTTTTGCGAGGTCGTTCACATTTCCAGTTAAATGTGACTTGTATGTGACTCCAGTGTGAACATTAAACGGCCCAAAAGTGTCCCACATGTGACACTGGAGACACGACGACGTCAACCGCAGCGAGCGTCTCTGTGTTTACAGAAGTTGTCCAAACATGGACGCAGCATCGAGCACCTGGAGATTTTAAAGTTCCTCTCGTACCGGAGCCAGAACATGAACAACTTACTTGTTTTAAGGAGGAGATTGAGAAGGAGAAGGACGAGGTTTTTGGTCGTGGTGTTTTGTGGTTCAGTCTGTTGAAAGGAACGTGTGGATGTGGAGACGGAGCCAAGAGTGGTGAGTGGTGATGTGCTTCACTTCAGTGACACAGAGTTCATTAACAATTTTCACCTACTTCAGTGCAGAATAGTGACGTTTGTGTCTTGTTGATAACGTGTAGGTGGATGAATGCACTTTGACCTTTCACACTGAAGTCACATGTCAAAAGATCAGATATGTATCAGTTTCAGGAGCACATATCCAAGTGTCCTGGGTCACATTTGAAAAAATTGGATCTGTGTCGTTCAGACTGACATTAAAAGATCAGATACAGGAACATAGGGGCCAAAAAATCGGATTTGGGTCACTTCAGGCTGCAGTCTGAACGCAGCCTCTGTTATTAGTTAGTCTTGCAGTTACATGATGAATTAGGCTGCTTACATATCTGATCTTTTGACATGTGACTTCAGTGTGAAAGGCCAAAGTGCATTCATCCACCTACACGACCTCGCAAAGACATCAGATTTCACCAAAAAATCTGAATTGAGCGTTAAGCCCTGCAGTCTGAACATAGTCTAATTCATCATGTAACTGCAAGACTAACTAATAACTACGGGCGTGAGGTTCCAGGGCACTAACGACACACACGGGAGGGCATCTGAAGTAAATGTCAGAGCAGGTTATGTAGAGCATTAGATAACACTGATGTTAATATTAAAACACTGTTAGTAAAAAAAAAAAAGCTTGTAGAAGTGGAGGTTGTGGCAGGAGGAGGACGTCACTTCCTCTGCACGATGTCGCCGAGCATGCTGGGTAACTGGCGGTGCTGGAGCTCCCTGTGAACCTGACAGTAAACGCAGGGACAGCAGCAGGTGGACAGGAGGCAGTCCACACAGAACGAGCCCTGAAAAACACCAACAAAGACACGACGCAGAGCTTTGAGAGGCTTCGTCTGTAAAGAACATTGAAGTGTAAGACGTTAGTTCAGATTTGATTTAAACAGTTTTGGGAGTAACGTGTTATAAAAGTAACAAATTACTGTAATACTTAGATTTTTGCTGTAACGCAGTAATGTGGACTTAAAGGGAAAAAAAACTGTAATATTTTACTCGGTACAAATGTGAGTAAAGCGTGTCACAAAGCTTTTTTAACCTGGATTGAAGTGTTGGGTTTTTCATTTTTCTTCAGACAAATTCACTAAAATCACTGCGATATCAGCAGCAGTGAAACGACATCGTTACGGTTCTGAGTGTCGGGACGGGCCAGAGGTTGTGCCCGTGTAGACCGTCGGGTGACCACGGGAGAAAGGACCGACGCAGAACTCCACGTTCCACGGGGCGAAGAGCAGCCGACGCCCGATCGAGCTTTGAGGAAACACTGCTCCACAGGCTTGGGGTTCACTCAGGGGCGGAACTAGATTCCTAGTCCTGGTTCAGTTCTGGTTTAGTCCTGGTTCAGTTCTGGTTTAGTCCATATACAGCGCAAAAGTTCAGCATCTTCGCAGTTATTTTGGTGAGAGTAAATTAAAAGTGCTGCAATAGTAATGTAATGTTTTACATTTTAAATACAGTAATATTGTGCCAGAAGTCCCAAAGTGAGTACCAGAGGTCCCAGGGCAAGTACCAGAGCGGGTCCCAAAGGTCCCAGAGCAGAGATCCCAGAGCGAGTCCGAGAGCAGGTCCCAGAGCGAGTACCAGAGCGGGTGTCAGAGGTCCCAGAGTGGGGCCCAGAGGGTCCCAGTCAGAGGTCCAGAGCGTGTCAGAGGTCCCAGAGTGGGTCCCAGAGCGCTGTCAGAGGTCCAAGAGTGAGTACTAGAGATGTCAGAGGTCCTAGCACGGGTCCCAGAGCGGGTCCCAGAGCAGGTCCCAGAGGTCCCAGCGCAGGTCCCAGATTGGGTGTCAGAGGTCCTAGAGCGGATCCCAGAGTGGGTGTTAGAGCGGGTCCCAGAGCAGAGGTCCTAGAGCAAGTACCAGAGCAGGCCCCATAGGTTCCAGAGGTCCCAGGGGTCCTAGACCGGGTCCCAGAGCGAGTACCAGAGCGGCTCAAAGAGCGGGTCGCAAAGAGGGTCCCAGAGCGGGTCCCAGATCAGGTCCCAGAGCGGGTCGCAAAGAGGGTCCCAGAGGGGTCCCAGATCAGGTCCCAGATCAGGTCCCAGAGCAGGTCCCAGAGCCGGTTGCAGAGCAGGTCCCAGAGCGAGTACCAGAGTAGGTGGTAATGTTGTTTATGTTTCTGGAGGATTGATCCATGTGGAAACAGCAGAGATCTTAAGTCTGACCCCCGAGGTGCTGTATTCTGTCTAGTCTAGATCTGGTTTAGACCCGATCTGAACCCTGTCTGGACCTGGACTCACCCGGATGCTGTAGCGCTCCCTGGTGGTGGCCCGGAGCGTCATGGCGATGGGGTGGATGAAGCCGCACATGTCCAGCAGGGGGAGACAGAGACACGCTCCATGACGATTTGCAGTTTGACACGAGAGGCACGGAAAGCAGCAGAAAGACCTGCAACCTGAGACAGAGACCAGGACTAAACCAGGACTAAACCAGGACTAAAACAGGACTAAAACAGGACTAAACCAGGACTAAAACAGGACTAAACCAGGACTAAACAGGACTAAACAGGACTACAAGGACTAAAAACAGGACTAAACCAGGACTAAAACAGGACTAAACAGGACTAAACAGGACTAAAACAGGACTAAACAGGACTACAACAGGACTAAAACAGGACTAAACCAGGACTACAACAGGACTAAAACAGGACTAAACCAGGATTAAAACAGGACTTAATCAAGACTACAACAGGACTAAACCAGGATTAAACCAGGACTAAACCAGGACTAAAACAGGACTAAAACAGGATTAAAAGAGGACTAAATCAGAACTAAAACAGGACTAAACCAGGACTTACAGTCTTTACAGTCCCTGCAGCAGTGGCACAGTCCTGTGGACCACTCCGACGCGTCTCTCATGAAAACCTCAGACTGAGGCTGGACTGTGACCGAGCGCTTCATCCTGCGCCACAGAACAAGACCAACAGAGTCTAACCCACAACCACGTCATTTATTTAGACGAGGGGACAACCAGGACTAAACGAGAACTAAACCAAGTCTAAACTAGGATCCAAACAGGTCTGTCTCCTATGACAGGAATCTTGGATTGTCTCATTCATATTTCTAATACTTAAACATGAGAGTCACTGACCAGGTCTAAACCAGGTCTAAACCAGGTCTAAACCAGGTTTAAACCAGGTCTAAACCAGGTCTAAACCAGGTCTAAACCAGGTTTAAACCAGGTTTAAACCAGGTCTAAACCAGGTCTAAACCAGGACTAAACCAGGTCTAAACCAGGACTAAACCAGGACTAAACCAGGTCTAAACCAGGTCTAAACCAGGTCAGGAGTCATGGATTGTCTCTTTTCTACTATGACCACTAATCCTGTCAGTACAGTTATGAAAGTGCATTCTGATGTTTGTATAATTATAATAAACAAAAACTGAATAAACAGAAATAGTAGAAGTTTAAATAAAGTGTAAAGTGTGAAGTGTGATCGTCTCACCTGCCGTCGCTCTCACCTGTGCAGAGGAACGCCGCGCTCTGATTGGACACGAGCCTGGAGGAGCCTCACAGTGTCCAGACACAGAGTCATGTGACGTGTGTCGGATTTACCTGTTCAACCAGAAACAGCACAACACAAACATGTGAGCTATTCCTGCGAGACGCCCCCCTCCCCCCGTAAATATACACCTGTGTGCAAGAACTAAACCAGGACTAAACCAGGACTGAACCAGGAATAAACCAGGACTAAACCAGGACTAAACCAGGACTAAACCAGGTCTAAACCAGGACTAAACCAGGACTAAACCAGGTCTAAACCAGGACTAAACCAGGTCTAAACCAGGACTAAACCAGGTCTAAACCAGGACTAAACCAGGACTAAACCAGGACTAAACCAGGACTAAACCAGGACTAAACCAGGTCTAAACCAGGACTAAACCAGGACTAAACCAGGACTAAACCAGGTAAACCAGGACTAAACCAGGTCTAAACCAGGACTAAACCAGGACTAAAACCAGGTCTAAACCAGGACTAAACCAGGACTAAACCAGGTCTAAACCAGGACTAAACCAGGACTAAACCAGGTCTAAACCAGGTCTAAACCAGGACTAAACCAGGACTAAACCAGGTCTAAACCAAGTCTAGGCTGTCAGATGTCCACCCAGACAAGTAAAACAAAACCATCAGGATGGATTAGTTAGGAAGTTTGATTATGAGGATGCACGCTGACGTCGACGGGAAAAGTAAAACTGCATTTTGAACATAAAAGTTAACCTGGTGATCTAAATGTTCTGTGTTAGCAGCTAAAACCCCAAAGTGTAATATCACCTCTTTGAAAATAATTGGACAAATTCAAACAACTTCAATATTCTGTTTTATTTTAAATACATTTACATGAAAATTTGGATTCTCTCGTTTTAGGAACAATATAAAACATAAATAAAAAATAAATAGTAAAAACGTTAAATAGCAGAAATAAATAAAACGTTTTTTTTTTTGTTTTTTTAAATAAACTGTAAACATTGTGAAGTCAGTAATGAAATGTCCTCGGCCAAGTCCAAAGTCCAAACCACAGACACCCACAGTTTGGCTCCAGTCAAATGAAGCTCATTGAGGCTGCGGTTACAGAGGTGAATGTGGAGCAAAAAAGAGAAAAATAAACCCGAGGATCATGTAGAGGAGGTTAATACAACAGAGTAAAATGACAAGTGTGACGGCAGCAGAGAGAGCGACGATGGTTTTTCAGTAGAAAGCAGGAGTGTAGTATATTGAGTTATAAAAAATATATATAAAATAGCCACAACTTAAATGTCAAACCAGAGCTATTGGTAACGGTGAAAACAAACAAGGCCAAGGTCTAAACTAGTCCTGGTTTAGTCCTGGTTTAGTCCTGGTTTAGACCTGGTTTAGACCTGGTTTAGACCTGGTTTAGTCCTGGTTTATTCCTGGTTTAGTCCTGGTTTTAGTCCTGGTTTATTCCTGGTTTAGTCCTGGTTTAGACCTGGTTTAGACCTGGTTTAGTCCTGGTTTAGACCTGGTTTAGTCCTGGTTCAGATCCAGAGCACGGAGGAGACTTCCAGGGGGGCGTCTCCGCTGCTGTGCCCGGAGAACATGGCCTCGCACTGGGCTTGGAGCTGCTCGGCCTCCTGGAGATCCGGGAGGTCTGACGGGAAGAACACGGACGAATCCGTGCTCCAGCCAAACGGCACAACGGCACCGGGGGAACCGTCGGGAATTGCACCGCCGACCCCCGCCTCCGGAACTGTGGGGTAATAACTCTCGGCGAAGGAGAAGGAGTCTGAGGAGGAAAAACACGAGGACGAGGAGGAGGAGGAGTCGTCGAGAAGAGCGTCTGGATCGGCCACCGGGGGCCGCTGTGGTCTGGGCCGTTTGGAAGTTGGCGTGACCTCGCAGGAAGTTGGGTTCGTGTCGCAGGAAGTGGCGTTGTCGGACTTCCTCTTTCGTTTGCGGCGGAAGTTTCCGTTGTCGAACATTTTCTCGCAGTTCGGGTCCAGTGTCCAGTAGTTTCCTTTACCTGAGGAGACAACGATAAAAAATCAGACCAGAAAACACAAATGCCAAAAGAATCTGTGTTTCATTTATTCATTTGTTTTTCAAAATAAAACCAAAAATAAGAAAACCAAAAATATATATATATTTTCTTCATTATTTGTCTCCAAAACCAAAATGAAAAAATAGATAACGATTTGTTTTTTCAGCTTTCGATGTTGTGTTTAAGTGAAAAATTGAAAAAATGGACTGAACCAGGACTAGACTGGTCTCAGTCTTGGTCTGGTCCCAGTCCCAGTCTCAGTTCTGGTCTCAGTCTTGGTCTGGTCCCAGTCCCAGTCTCAGTTCTGGTCTCAGTCTTGGTCTGGTCCCAGTCTCAGTCCCAGTCTCAGTTCTGGTCTCAGTTCTGGTCTCAGTCTTGGTCTGGTCCCAGTTTCAGTCCCAGTCTCAGTTCTGGTCTCAGTTCTGGTCTCAGTCTCGGTCTGGTCCTGGTCTCAGTCCACGTCTTAATTCTGATCCTGTTCCTGGTCTCAGTTCTGGTCTCATTCCTAGTTCTGGTCCGGGTTTGGTCCCGGTCTCAGTCCTGGCTTAGTCCTGGTTTAGTCCAGTGTTCTAAAACTTTTAACCAGGAGTGTATTTCAAATCGATTGAATATGGTTCAGTAAAAAATCATGGCTGTTAATTTTGTTAAATCACGTCTTGTGCAAAGTTCATATGAAACACAAATATTTTAATCAACAAAACAGTGAAAATGTCAAATGTGTCGCATAAATGAGTTTCCTTCCTCTGAACAAACAACAAAACTGTAGCTGTCACAAAATAAAGCTCTGTTCTGATGGGATAAATACAACCTGGGGAAGTTTGGTCATCTGAAAATTACCACCCCACCTCTGTGTTACTTACGGCACATTCACACGGGATAAACAAAGTCCATAAATTAATCTGTAATTAATTATTTTGTCTGAGATTGAAAGAGAAAAGAACAAGGAAAGAAAATAAAGAGATAGAAAAGGCACAATTACAACAACAAACAGTGAGACGCAGATTCACACGGGGCTCGTATTATCACCGGACGTCTGTGTTTGGCGAAATATTGTTGGTAATTTGTGGCGGAATTTTTACTTTACAAATTACAAACAGGATAAATTCGAACGGGATTAATGAGATTAATTATTACAAATCACCAAAGGTCCAGAGGTAAAACTAATTCAGTGAGAATATGACTTAATTTAGAAAAATAATCCAAAAATTCTCTTGGCGATAAATCGATACAGCAGCCCACGATATCGATACTGTATCATCACATTAAACGATACGATATGTCGATATTTGGATATTTTTGCACAGCCCTACACCTGACACACAGAGACACAGGGGGACGGGAGGGCATCTGGGTTAAACTGACCGGGGTTGCTGGGGTCTCGGGGAACTTTCTGGAAGCAGTCGTTGAGGGACAGGTTGTGGCGGATGGAGTTCTGCCAGCCCGCCTTCCCCTGGCTGTAGAACGGGAAGCGCTCGCTCACATACGCGTAGATCTGACTCAGCGTCAGCCTCTGGCCCGGCGCCGACTGGATCGCCATGGCGATGAGGGCGGAGTACGAGTAGGGCGGGCGCACGTGGGCCAGGACGTCGTGCGCGGCCGCCATGTTTAGCCACGCCCCGCCGCCCCACGCCCGCCGGTACAGAGGCAGGAGCGACGACAGGTGAACCCCGGCGACGAAGCTCGAGTCTGGGCAGACGAACGACGAGGCTCCTGGAGAAGAAGAAGAAGAAGAAGAAGAAGAACAGATCAGGACAGCATATCAAAATGTAGTGTTACTTTGAATGTGTAAAAAAAAAAACTATAAAAAACACAATTTAAGGGTTTAATTTAATAAAATTTTATTTTATTTTATACTAAAAAAGTCCCATTTACTGAATAGTTTTAGAATGATCTTGACCTGGTTTAGACCTGGACCACTGAGGGATTACACCAGGACTAAACCAGGACTAAACTAGAACTAAACCAGAACTAAACTAAGACTAAACCAGGACTAAACTAAGACTAAACCAGAACTAAACTAAGACTAAACCAGGTCTAAACTAAGACTAAACCAGGTCTAAACCAGAACTAAACTAGAACTAAACCAGAACTAAACTAAGACTAAACCAGGACTAAACTAAGACTAAACCAGAACTAAACTAAGACTAAACCAGGACTAAATCAAAACTGAACAAGGACTGAACAAAACTATGGCCCATGAGCCAAATGTGGCCCTCAGATGAATTTTTCTTGGCCCTCAGGCTTCCAGGTGAATTGGCCCAAATGACCTTGCATGAAAAAAAACCAAAAACTTTTTAGTTTAGTTTTTGAAAATCTACCTCAATAAAGCTAAATATTGAATATTTAGTTTGTGGTTTTAAGGATCTTAGCATGAATAAAGACTGACGGCTCATTCTAACGTGTTAAACATGCACATATGTAAATTATTCACTGTACTGAGCACCAGTCTGCAGCCCTCGATCAGCCCTCTGCTCCATCTGTGTTTAGATCTGTGGCCCTCGATGAAAAAAGTTTGGACACCTCTTGATTACACAAATATAACACCACATGACACCACATGAGAATATAAAAGAAAGTACAAGACTTAATGTTAAAAATCACATTCTATTGTCTAAAGAAAGTGTTTTTTTTTTTACCTGTGCAGTCTGGAGGAAGCCAGGTGAGCTGAGGGGTTGGAGGAGGACTGTACAGGCTGAAGTCGGAGGCGTCCAGGTCCAGGGAGGGCAGCTCGTCCTGGGGCAGAGTGTGAGCGAGCGCCTGGGGAGAAGAACCAAAGGATCCAGAGGAACCAGAGGAACCTACAAGGGCCATGGTGGATCTCCTGCAGGCTGCGTGTGTCTGCCTCACCTGCGCCTCACCTGGGCTTTTATAGCTCAGAGCCCGCCCCCCGAGGCTCCTGATTGGTCCGGGGAGGCAGACGGAGCGGGGGATTGGCTGATGGGCGCAGACAGGAGCAGACAGGAGCAGACAGGAGCAGACAGAGAGGCGTTTGCATAAGAGCTGCTCCGCGGGGGTTCGGGGGGAGCAGGGAGCAGCAG